TCTGAATTCTTCGCAAAAGGCCATCGGTGAAGGAAGGGGATTGGGTAGGGTTCAGAGGCACCGAGGGGGTGGTCTAAAATGTGGTATATTTCTGTCCTGCGGGTGCGGGTGAGGAACAGGAAGTGGTTGTCAACAGGTTCAGAATAAGGGCAGATAACCGTTTGGAACAGATACAACGAGAAAAAACAGAATGGTACACGAGGTCGGGGGTGTTTTGTATCCGCGTCCTTAAGGAAACGGATCAATGAAGGACATACAGGCCAAATGTACCAATACAGGAACTCCCCTCTGATCCTGATGAGTGGAGATTGACTTTGCAATATGGTAGGGGTAGATCTGGGGAAAGGCGGTTGCATACTCTCTCGGTGAAAACCACTTACCGAATGTTAAGACCAAGAGTCAATTTGAAGGATGTGGTTGAGGCGCGCTGGATAAAACACCTTAATATTGGGAGGGATAAGCTACGATCAGTAAAATGGTTTAAGGCAAGTAATGCTATGCCAACAAAATTAGTCTCCCTACAATGGCAGGTGGAACATAGATGCCTGCCAACAAATGATTGGTTAATAGACAGAACGCGTTTGGAACAAAAAGGGTTGGCACTTCCCTGGTGCAGACTATGTACAAAATCCTTCCCTTCTAGGAAATGGCCCGAAACCATAGAACATATGTTTCTGCAGTGCCCAGCAATGATATGGCTGTGGAGATGGTGGGACCGCCTCTGGAGATGAATAGGCGCCTCACAGCCCTGGCCATGGGACTGGGAGCGCTTCTTTGCGAAGCATGGGCCCCGGTACAGGCCACCACCTTTGAGAAGAACATGTTTAAAGTGGGACGCCGTGCCATTATCTGGGCTATCTGGTGGCACCGGTGCACATTGGAAATGGAAGGGGTACGCCGAGATGGTATGGAGTTTATTAACTCGATAAAGGAACAAGTACAAGAAGATATTACTATCCAATGGGAAAGAGTCAAACAAAAGACTGCTTTTTTACACTCTAAACAGGAAATTGGACAAATCATTGAGAGCTTCTCAAAAGACTGGCTGGGCGGGGAACAAGGAGGGTGGATTGCAAGGGTAGAGTGGAAAGGGAGGGAGAAGGAGAGGGGGGGGGATGTTGTAGGAGACGGGGAAAGAGATTACCATCTATGTTTTCAAGAATGGACTAAGATTGACCCCTCCTTCCCGACTCGGCCCGCTTCGGATTTTGTCGACCTTTTCCCTCCCCCACCTCAGGCTTTGGTAAGCATGGATTGGTATGGGGGGGTTAGTGGATAAAATGGGTGTGCTGGGATACCTGCAGAAAAGTCTATCCTTCTAAACGGGTCGTAGGGCTGTTGGATGGTACAAGAGAGGGGGCGAAAAGGAACTGCAGTCATAGCCTTCATCCAAGACTGAAGGGAGGTAAAAGAGGTGGGTGAGGTGAGGGAGGAACTAGTTTGGAGCTGTAGATATCTGGCGCCTGGTTCAGGGCGAAGAGGTTCCCGCCCTAAACTTCCTGCTCACTCAATCCCTTGGTTTCCAAGGTAATCAATGCTAGCCGAAGTCTCCCACTTGCATTCCTTTTCAGTTTTGTTCCAGATTCGGTCTGTGTAAGGGACATTGGACCCGTTTCCCAGCAGGTGAAGCTCCCCAACAATAGATGGAGCCTCTCCCCAGGTGCTCATGGTGTCTGCTCTTACCAGCATCACTAGCATTGAAGGGGGCATTTAAAAAAAAAAAAAAAAAAAAAAAAAGTCTGACCCTGTTCTCCCTGAGGCCCATATTTCTCCGCATTCTCTCCTGAGAGATCATCACCCCTCTCTCCATCGCTCCTGCAGTCATCTTATAAACTATCTTACAATTGCGGTGCATATCTTTCCTCTCATCCTATAGTGTATCAATATAGAAGATCTGCTTGTTTCACCTCTTCCCCGCTTGGTTGTCGATGCACCAACGGTTTTCAAGGTCTGTTCCAAACGTACAGTCTCATCGCCATAGCCCTGAAGGTCTACAATTCCTTCGGCTTGGGGCCCAAGAGGGTTGCCAATCTTTGGGGAAGCGCCCTCATGAAGTAGTGCATGATGGGCTTTTGCCCCAGCTCCAAATCGATGGTCTGCAACAGGTGATCAAATTCCTGCACAAGATAACCCATTGATCCCTTGAAGGTTTGAACGGCTGCTGCGAAATTTCAATGAGTCGGTCATAAACTCATCCTCCCTTGTCACTAGCAGGTACCGGTCTAGCAGCTTATTGCATAAATCTTCCCAAGAGATTTTCTGCACATAATCTTTCAGCTCGCCAACTGATGAAATTTCTAAGTTGGCCCAAGCTTTGGCAGCATCCTCCATATTGTTGATGGCGAACTGGAGCTTTGTGATGCTGTCTGTGAGACCGCAGTAAGAAATCTGGGTGTTTCACCTCCTGCAACCAGACTTCAACATCATCCTCTGGCAGTCCTGCGAAAGCTTCCGGAGATCTAATATTCAACCTTTGTTGATGGGCCTGCTGATTTCCTCCTGCAGGCGGAGACGAAGTCCCTGCCGAAGTTTGTGGCGGCGAGGGAAAAGTATGGAGCGCCTTAATTGAGACTTGTATGACCTTCACGGAATCTGCAATTTCTCCAAGCTGTTGCATCAAGTGCTTGGACATGGAGTCTGTCAACCTCTCAATCCTGTCCATATCCGCAGCATGGAGAATAGTGAATGCCGACAACCTGTCGCCGACATCTGCGCTGTTGTCCTCCACAATCTGTTTAGATTCAGCAATGTTCTTCTTCTACAACTCCTCATCTTGAGCTGCCTTGATCTGAGTGTCAAGATCTGCTTGCCTCGCCGCTAAGTTATCCTTCTGCTTTGTAGCTCAGTGGCAGTAAGTTGTGTGGAAGTCGTCATCGTAGTACCTGATCGCACAAACTTCTTTTTTCTTGAAGGCGGCGGTAGCTCCTAGAACATGTACGGTCTCTCCCTAGCTTGTGACCATGTAACACGATCGCTCATAACTCTAGAAACTTCTCTCCACTTTTTTTTCTTCACTCCAACGTCAACCTTTCTCCCGCCTCCTCACACACAGTCTAACTCCTTTTGAAAATCCACACAAAATGAGGTATAACGCTAAACAGCTACTCAACAGGTGGCAAGATACTGCGCTAATGTCCCACTTGATGATGTGGCAATCTTGCTGACATGGCGGCTGTCCAAGTTCAACACGTGTCCGGAGTCAACATCGTTACCCGCTCTGATACCACTGTTACGAATTTCCAAAATCTCAAGCACTTACAGTCATCATCTCACTTACACACTTCATTGAGATGATATCACACTACAACTCCACAGAAAATCGGAATTGAATAGTCACATACAAAATACTTGATGAAACCAGAAAAAGGTGATGGATAATTGAAGGCCCGGCCTCCCTGAGCAATATGCAACGATTGGCTCGAGAAACCATCCAGTGAACAGCAAGTTCTCACTGGCTATGGCTGCACTCTCTCTCTCCTTGAGCAGTGCTGAAAGAAGCTCCTCTCTAGTCTCACCAGGCAGCTAAAAAATATGACGAATGAATTCTGAACGAGGGTTGTACCCATACTTGCGGCACATAGATGAAGTGCGCTGCGCTGATTGCAGATGCGCGAAGAAGAAGAAGAAGCAACCATGATGTGTGTATACACGCTATGGAGAGAGAGAGAGAGAGAGAGAGAGAGAGAGAGAGAGAGAGAGAGAGAGAGAGAGAGAGAGAGAGAGAGAGAGCAAAGAGAGAGCAAAGAGCCCTTTCAAATTATTCAGACAATCCCTGCCGGTACTTCAAAAGATCCCTGGAAAAAATTGGCAAGGGTCCCATCCGCAGGAGATGGGTAGTCACTGGACTTATAGTAAGGAAGGTGCAGGCCAGCTATATATGGTGTGGCTTCGAATTCAGGTCCGTGTTTCAGCAGTTATGGGTTACTGACTTACTAACTCGGCATGTGATTTTCAGGGCTTCACTCCACTACTCACCAAATGTGCAAAACTAGAATGAATCTTCTCTTACAAACTGGAACCATACAAACCACATGTTTTTCTTTTGTGATGAATGGATCCAGGAAAAAAAAAGAAAAAACGAGACAGCTACTGTAGTGTTTGTAGTACTTTCGTAACCCATAACTCTTGGAACACAGCCCTGAATCCGAATCCAGGATATATTGCTGGCCTGCTCATGATCTACCAGTAGTTCAATGAACATCCTTCCAAAGGGGACCTTCTGGAAGAGAAAATAGATCCAATTAGTACGAAGTGGCCCCAAAATACTTTTTTCTGTGCACTTTCAATTTTCAAAAGGGAGGCCTGTTTGCGGCGCACGTGCGCAACTTGCGCACACGTGATGCGCTGCATGTATGGTTTCACCCCAACTCGTCACTTCGGAGGAGCAGCTACTTGCCTAGGCCCACGGTGTCCGCATACCGAAAGAAAAGTTAAAAAAGATCCTACCACTATGCTAGGCAATTAGGGACCGTACACCCAGGTCCCGGGCTCAAAACTCATCTGCTTCAGAACAGTAAAAAAAGAAAAGAAAACAACTGTTCATACTTTGTTTGTTCCCCGGTTCAAATCCAGACAAGAACAAAAATAGCAGAAACTTGAAATACACCAGATAGTTGGGCAGGTTGCAGGTTCAAATCCCGCAATCCCCTACACCTGGCTCTAGACGCATAGGGGGGAGGGACTGCTAATATGCACCTGGGGCCTTTGTCCAGGCATTCTATTGGATCCCCATGCTGGCTGGGAAATATCCCAACAGTACCCAGACACACAGCATGGAAATCCCTGGCCCAGGCCATACTAGCAGTCCACTGTCTCTAGGATATGTTTCAACAGAAGTATACTGTGACCAAAACATTTGCTTGTCATCTTAGTCCCGTGATCTTTGTTTGAGGAGAGGAGAGTGGAGAGGGTCCCAGGGTGCAAGAAGGAGAAGGGAAAACAGTCCTGGACAGTGTGATCAAAACAGCAACCAACACGGTAAAGGATGTTCCTCATCATACCTTATATGCCACCTCCTGTTTCCCAGCCCTGGCAGATGTAGTCCTTGTGCGACCTGCATGTAGAGACAGGATGTCGGAAAGAGAGGTGTTATGGAATGGCAAGGTGGGTGAGGCTTTTGCTCTTCACTTTTACCTTTGGGAGAGCGGGGATGTGAGCTTTCTCTTGGTGCCAGAATGCCCTCTTTGGATGCCAGTACCAATGCCAAAGCCTCAGAGGCTCAGACACTCCACAATGTTTATGCTCTTATTTTATTTCTCTTCTGCAAACTGAGGGTAAGGCCTGAGTCTTCTGGATAATGACTTGGGCCCATACCCCTACACCTAGATCCAGGGAATATCGAAAGAAATTAGGCCATAAGTACTCATTTAACCAAATGGAATAACACATAGGACACGGTTTAGGGCATACTACTTGTCTGTCATAGTAGTAATGTGGGTTGGCCAGAGCACATTGAAAGAAACTGAGCCATTGGTATTCCACGAACCGAACACAGTATAGGACGTAGTCCTTGGTCTACCTTAGTAGTAACGTGTAGCGTGGGTTGGCCTGGCACATAGTCCACCTGAGAGGGAAGGTATTTTTTGTGGTTGACATTTGTACATGCGCACTTGTCTTTTTTTTTTAGGTATTCTGAAGCATTATGCTTAAAGCACCAGTACACCGCACATCGGCCCGCGGGTGTCAGCACGAAACCCACAACACTTCGGAGGCCGCCGATTCTTTTTGTCAATGGCGCCCCACGCCGCGCAGCCCCTCCGAGTTTTGCTTGTGGCGACAAAAACTTTCTGCAAGGCTGGGGCCGTGTACTTGCGGTTTAAAGCTACGTAAAACAGACCTCCACTATCGCACACTGTTTGTGTTGAAAGGCATCCATACCTGTGAAGGGATCGAGGTTGGGGAAGTGCCCTTAGCCTGAAGCCACTGTTTTGCAAGGGATCTATGCGCTCCTGTTTTTCAGAATTATTTCGACCATTTCTTGATTGTACTTGTCATCCTTGAGTGCACAGGGGGCATGCTAATCTTCTCTGTATCGCTTCAATTTTAATAGATGCCATGAAGGGTAGGATCGATGCATTTGTGTCCATGCTAGAGGATCGAAGTTTAGGCAACCACCACACAGTATTAGATGGTCATGTACTGAAAGGATTGGTAAAAATTTGGTATGTACCCGGCCGCTCGAATGCCCATCAGTGCAATCAGACTCACTTCTTTTCACTTCACATGCATGCAAACAGATAGTAGATCGCTCTGGCGCAGAGCGCCCACACAACTCAGAGACAAACTTGCTTCAGAATGGCTATGCGATTGCACGCCTTCACTTCACTTATCAACTCAGAGTCATATCCACTGTTTACATGCACTCACTTTGGATCTTCCCTGGATATCCCACACGCTCACACACACTGCACTTCAGGCACACCTCTCTACTCACTAACCACTAACTGCTAAGCTATGGCGGCTATGGCCGCTTACTAACACTAGCACCGGATGCTATCCCCTTCCTTCAGCCCACTTCGACTTCGGCATCTGCAGACCACCTCGCACAAGACGCGTTGGCAGCACTTCACAGCAGAATGAATGAATGGCTGGACACTGCCTCTTGATTTATACTTCTGTAAGCCGCTGGTCTGCCCCTTTTCCACCGGGCCCATGGTGCACACAGTCGCTCATGGTACTTGCTGCCTGTACAAAGTGAGACTGGGGACTGGGTACCGCTTCCGGACATGGAACCGGACCCGTGTCCGGTAGTTTCCGGACATTTCCAGACCTCCGGACATGGGAGGATCCGGACGGTCCGGATGTCTGGACAGGTCCGGAAATGTCCGGGCCAAAAAAAAAAAAAAAAAAAAAAAAAAAAAAAAAAATCTGGAAAACAAGTATGTTATGCAGAATAACAATGCAAACCACTTTTGCCTCAGAGTCATGTCAGAATTCCTAACCAAACTTGAGTTAAAAGTCAAAAACTATAAAAACACTTCAAAAACTAATAAAAGCCTATTAAAAGGTAATGAATTATTAATAATAAAAAAATTGGGGCTGTCTAATAAATTATTATAGAGAGAGAGCATGTCCGGACCCCCAAAAAAAGCATAAACGGGCCTGAAAAACCCCCAAAGGGGAAGGGTCCTGGACCGTTTTTTTTTTTTTTTTTCCTTGAAATTTGGCAGATCCGGACCTTCCAGACCGGACGTCTGGATTCCGGACTGAATCCAGACCGTCTGGATGGTGGTCCGGACGTCTGGATCGTAGCCATGGAAAAACTCGAAAGGCCACTTCCGGACCTTCCGGAAGTCTGCAGACTTGGCCTTTCGGGACTGTAGCAGTTACGACCTTGACCTTTCAGAATTACTACAGCTATGGCGTCTACACAACTATGACCCCTAGTTGACAGATCTACAGATCGAACCTCTACAGCTACACAGACCTACGACAGAAAGCAGTCAACTACCAAACACAGGTCACGGGTTCAAACACACGGGTACTGTACACGGGTGAGGTGAGGTCTAGGGATCGAGCCCTGGGATCTGCATCTGCTAATGCAAAGGTGAGAACCGTTTCACTCCTGCCGGCCTAAATTCGAGGTCCTCCGAGAATACTTCAGTCCAAGGCAGGACCTTTTACCTTTTTAATCTCTCTCATAGACTCGAACTATATCGGGAGTGGTCTCTAGAAGCTCTGTCCGTGTGAACCAGCGGTCGTCTTCTGGTTCTTGAAAGGAGAATCTGACTTTATACTGTTTCTGTGGACGACCTCTACCTCCTGTTCTGAACACATCTTCACCTACAATGCTGTCAATGTCGTACCTTCCATCCATGTCCAAAGGGATCATGGATCTCCATGATGGAAACTGTTGACTTGTGGTACAAGGCAACAACTTGGACGCATGAAAAACTGGGTAGGTGTGGAGGTGTGCGGGAATCTCGACTGTGTAGGACGGTCCATCCTCTCCGCCCTTGACTTCCAAGACAGGCCACGGTCCTCTATACACAGGTAACAGTTTCTGTAAGATGTTTTCCTCAGGAGCAAACTCTTTTGACTTAACACAGACTAAGTCGCCTGCTTGGAATTGTGATGGGCGACGATGCTTATTGGCTTGCTCTATCATTCTATGCTGGGGCCTTCCTGAGGTTCTCTATTACGGTAGCAATCTCTTTTTCATGCTGTATCGCGAACTCCCTAGTTCCGGGCGGTAGCCTCTGAATCTGATCCCGGTTGAGTCCCTCAACCGGTCTACGCGGTTTAAAGGACTTATGCAATTCGTTGGGAGTGCGACAAGTAACTAAGTGCACACTATTATTATAGGCGCTGGCCACCTTTGGGAGCATCTCATCCCAGTTAACTTGGTCGGGTCTAATGTACATTCTGAGAATTTGCTGCAGGACTTTGTTCATCTGCTCAGTCTGACCGTTGGTCTCTGGGTGACGGCCAGATGACATCAGCAACTTAGATCCATAAACTCTCATAAACTCCTGCCAGTTCTGACTAGTGAACCTGGTATCTCTATCACTAACTATCGACAGCGGCAAACCATGTTCACTGACCCAATAATCGAAAAACTTATGTATCACTAAATTTGTACGTGCCTCTGAAGGCAAAGGAACAAACACTTCATACTTGCTAAATCTATCAACTATAACCATAACTTGGCTCTTGCCATGCCTACTCTTGACCCCAGCATCCATAAAGTCAATGGACACAAAGTCTCCGGGTCCGTCAGGAATAGGCAGGGGTCTGAGAAGACCAAGAGGGGCTCGCGTAGTTGTCTTGTTTCGCTGACACACTTTACAACTGCGTACATACTCTATGCAATCAGCCTTCATGCCAGGCCAAAATGCCCCTCTGTATCGTGGCATTCCCCCAAGATCAGACTTCGGATCTCTTCACTGTTGGGAACGCAAAATCTGTCCACTATGTTCGTCTTCTCGAACAATAACCCATCTGTAGTGCGGCAATCTGGTTTTGTCTCTGGGGCCTCCTTCACTCTCTTGAGGAGGTCGCTGTAGATAAGGTCTTGTGCATATGCTTCTTTAACTTTCTGTTGCAGGTCTCTCCATATGTCCAGATAGTGTATTATAGCTCCAAAGTAGTCTGCTCTCCGACTTAGAGTGTCCGCTACTACATTGTATTTTCCCTTTACAGGCTTGAGCTCGAAGTCATATTGGTCTATCTCTGCGGCCCACCTAGTAAGCTTAGGCATCATCTTGGCCTGTGTCTTCAACCACCTCAGCGTCTCGTGGTCCGAATACACTTTGAAGTGCCTCCCAAGCAAGTAGTGCTTCCAGTGGCCTAGTGCTTGCCTACGAGCGTAGAGTTCTCTCTCATAGAATGATGTCGCTACCTTCTATGAAGGCATCCTAGCGGACATGAACTCTACGGGTCTATATCCATTGCCATTGTCTTGTTGTAAAACAACACCTATGCCGTACTGACTTGCGTCAGTAGTAACAACGAAAGGCAGGGACGGATCGGCTACCTTGAGGACTGGATACTCTATCAAAGCCCGCTTTAACTTCTTCAGGGCTGATGTACAGTCTTTGTCCCACTTCCAGATTGCCTCTTTCTTCAACAACCTGCGAAGGGGAGCAGCGATGGTGGAAAAGTTCCTGACAAACTTTCTATAGTAATTTGCCAACCCTAGGAACTACTGCAACTCTGTCAGCATCCGGGGAATTGACCAGTCTCTAATCGCTGCTATCTTACTGTCCTCAGGCTTTATGCCATCTCCATCTAGGACGTGGCCCAGGTATAAAACCTGGGTCTTGGCCCACTCATACTTCTTCGTGTTGATCTTGAAGTTAGCTTGTCTCAGCCTCCCCAAGACCTGCCTCAGATGGCCCTCATGCTCCTGGAGGGTCTTACCAAACACTAGAATGTCATCTAAGTAGACCACTACAAACCTATCTAACCACGGCCTAAAGAAGTCATGCAGCACTGAAACGTAGCTGGCACGTTGGTTGGCCCAAAGGGCATCACTATAAACTCATAGTGCCCATAGCTGGTCCTGAACGCATCTTGTGTTGATCATCAGGATGAACCTCTATCTGATAATAG